AATAAGTGCTTGCAGAAAAATGTCAATCTGAGGTCTTTACTCAAGCAAATTTTAAGAAGGGATATTTCTTCATAATTCACCAACCATCTAATCACTCTCCTCTCTCAGACTTATCTTCTTTGTGTTAATGCTTTGTCCTAACGTGACAGCAAAGATATAACCTGTGTAAGGCCAGAAGTTTTTTGAACAAATTTAATGTGGAACAAATAAATAAATCCAGACAAACTCCACAGTTATCAGCTCTTAATGCTTACATCTAATCTTTTAGATGTAGGCATGTTAAACTTTAGTAGGTCAGGTCTGACAAAAGGTTAGCATTAGCAAAACCTGGTAACCAGCAGGCAAGAGCGAATATGCAGCCAACTGGCTAGAATTAGTTAAACCTGCAGCTATCTTCTTTAAACAATTTGGATAGAGGTATAAGGAATGTCCATTATTATTTGATTAATTTGCCTTGTTGTTTGTTTAATGACTTTGCAAATTTTGGTTTGTTTTCTTTTTTGAGTTTTCAGTTATACTTTAATTCATGTCTTTCTTTGTTTTCTAGTTTGTTATTTTCGATTGTATTTGGGTTCTTAGGTATTGTTTGCCCTCTGCTGCCCTATTGTGTCAGTCTCTTTTTCCCTAAGCTCCCTTCTAGACTCCTCTGCCCACTGCCCACACCTGCTCCCAATCTGCTGATTAGCCTGGTCTTTGCTCAGTCTCCCATTTATACATCTCACATCCCTTTGTCATCCTAGCTTTCTGTTGTTTTCTATTGCAAATGATGTTCTTTGGTCCCCTGGAAGATCTACCTCTTACCTGCTTTACAGATCCAAGCTCTCAGCTCCTGGTCACAGTCTCTTCCTCCTTCTTCTGCCTCCATGCTGCTCCTCCAAAGTTTTATCATTTTTATGTTGTTTTTTCCCCCCAGCTTTTTTGTCACAGATCAACAAATGAACTCTCTGCATTTAACCCATCCCCTTCAGGAGCAGTGGGCTGCCATTGTGTGGCGCCCAGGGAGCAGTGTGGGGTAAAGGGTTCTGCTCATAGAGCCAGTGTGGGGCTTGATCTCAGAACCTCAGGATTCCAAGCCCTATGCCCTAACCACTAGGCCACACTTCTGATTCTATGGGAGTAAACAGGAGAGAATAAGATTCCCTGATAGACAGAAAAATTATTGAGTACAAAGTTATAAAGAAATCCTTAGAAAAGTTAGTATTGAGCAGGTCTCCAGCCAAAATGTCTCTTCATTCCTCTTTCCCTCTTTCCTGACTAGTCTGGAAGTTTCTGCTGAGGAAATGCGTCCCCATAGCATGATGCTACCACCACCATACTGAATTGAAAGGAATATTGTCTGGTTAAAAAAAAAAGTATTGATACTGATAACAGGACAGTAGTTAGGCATTATTGTCAGACACCATATAAGACTTAGACAAACTTTATTGTCACATTGTATATACAGAGTGGTTTGCAAAGATCTCATGACTTGAAGTGCTGCAGTGATCAAATGTAAAAATTGGGAGAAAAAACATGGTGCAAAAAAAAAAAACGCATTGATATGTTTTTTTTCAACATTTAGCTTTTTGGTTTTAGTTTTTTTCAACAGTTCAGCTGTCTAGTGGTGGTGTGAAAGAAGCTGTTTTGAAATCTCCTGGTCCTGCATGGAATGCTGCAAAGCCTCTTCCCAGAGGGCAGCAGGGAGAACAGTCCATGGTGGGGGTGTGAGGGGACATTGATGATGTTATGGGCCTCGGGAAATGCAGCGCTGGGATGAAATGTCTTTAATGGAGGGAAGAGGAGCCCCGATGATCCTCTCTGCTGATCTCACAACTCTCCTCACCTTCTTCTAGTCTGAGGCGCTGCAGCCTCCACACCACACAGTGAGACAGCTGGTCAGAACACTCTCTATGGTGCTTCTGTAGAAGGTGGTGAGGATGGGTGGGGACAGGTAGGCTCTCCTCATCCTCCGCAGGAAGTACATGCACTTCTGTGCCCTTTTGACCAGTGAGGTGGTGCTTACATTCCAGGTGAGGGTGTCTGTGATGTGCACCCCCAGGAATTTGCTGCTGTTCACCACCTCTACAGCTGAGCTGTTGATGACCAGTGGAGTGTGGTTTGGCCGGTTCTTCCTAAAGTCCAAGATGATCTCCTTCATTTTCTCCACATTTAGGATCGGGTTGTTGTCTCTGCATCAGTCCACCAGCTTCTCCACCTCCTCTCTGTAGTCCTGGCTGTTGTCGTCTCTGATGAGTCCTACTTCTGTGGTTTCATCTGCGAACGTCCCGATGTGATTGGTGGTGAATCTGGGGACGCAGCCATGTGTCATCAGGGTGAACAGCAGTGGGCTCAGGACACAGGCCTGAGGGGAGCATGTACTTAGACTGATGACATCAGAGGTGTTCTGTCACCCCGGAGTGACTGAGGACTGTTTTTGAGGATGTCTAACAGTCAGTTGCAGAGGGCTGTTTTGAACCCAATCTGTTCCAGTTTTCCTATCAGATGCTGTAGTTGTAGTCTGTAATTGCCCATATGCCTTTCCACATCCTCCTGGGTGTTGCTGGCGTCATTTAAAATATCCTGGATTTTCTGGCTGTGGTTCTGCTTCACTGATCTATTCAATTTTGCATGTGCTGTCCTCAGTGCCTATTTATCACCAGATTTGAAAGCTGAGTTCCAGGCTTTTACTGATCTCTGAACCTCCCCATTCATGCAGGGTCGTTAGTTTGCACGGATGGTGATGTTCTTTGAGATTCTGACGTCCTTAATGAATTTGTTGATGTAGGCTGACAGAGTCATGGCATACTCATCTATATTTAATATGTTGTCATAGGTTGCTGCAGCTTATTTAATGTTGGAATTTTATCACACCTATTGGCGGATAACACATTGTGTGTTTGGCCTGTGTTCCTCTACCGGTTTGTGTTTCAACTGAAAACAAGCTGGTTTTTGTTTTGGTTTATCATTGAGAAAAAGACACATGCCT